ATAATTATATATAAAAGTAGAATATATATTTTGAAACAATTATGTATTAAAACAGCAGTGGGATCATCCACCCAAGACTGCTTCGTGCTTGTAACTTCGGCAACATGGAGAAGGTCTCTTCTTTTTGGTTTTTTGCATGTTACAACTGTCGACAAAAAGGGCTTTCAGAAAAGAAATCAGTATTACAACACTAGACTCTGATTGAACACAAAATAAGTAGCCAAAAATATGACTGGTCCCGATCTAACCCAACCCGATGAATCCGATATCCTTTTATTTACTTGGATTTAATATGATTGTTGAGTTTATATTAATACATACATTAGACAATTACACTATCACGTACGCTCTTCGTATATACATATTCACAATCTATTATTCATCTCTATATAACTCATTTATATATATGTTCAGTAACTGTGAACATATATATGTAAATTGAGAAAATTAATTGAATGTGATATACGTAAGACATATGAATGAGTTGTATCAAATAGTTGATGAAAAAGAAATGATGAGTATAGAAATAACATATTCAAGGTTAGAAGAATATTTTAATATACCAAAGTATCAACCCGATCAACTCGTACAATTTGGGTTGGGTTGGGTTGCACTTTGGTTTGGGTTGAGTTAAGATTTTTCAAACCGTAAACATTGGGTTGGATTATTCAAATGTCTTCAACCCGATCAACCTAACCCATGAACACCCCTAGGAATAACGATTCATACGTGTTAAGAAAAGAATAACGTTTCATATATGTTAAAAAACTATTCATAGTAACGATTCATAAAATAATAAAATACTAAAACACCAAACAAACCAAATCCCACGAAGAGAGAAGATTCAAGATTAGTTTTAGCTTGTATTCAACATACTTGGTTGATTTCACTGCTTCTTCAAATTTACATTTTAAGTATTTAAATTGTATTTCAAAATTACCACTTCCTTAATTTTTCATCTTTTCAAATTCAAAATTTATTTCGGTTCATATCATTTTTTATCAAAAAATGGATGGTCTAGATGGATTGTTATAGTTTGTAATATATTTGGACGGTTTTTAAATGATTTGCCGTCTATATATATATATACTAGAAGGGTACTCGCACAATGCCGCGATATACATCTTCATTTTAATGTTTCGTTTTATTTTTTGTCTCTATTGATATAATATGATTTATGTGGTTTTGAGAAAGATAATGTTTTTACTTTTGAATAAAAATAAATTTGAAAATATCATAAAAATATGAAAAAAGTATATTCAATTTTTTATTATACTTTAATTCAGGTCAAAATGAAGTAATTTATTTTTGGCTTAACAATAATTTTGTTTATAAAGATAATGATTCTGTTAAAAATCAATGATTATCTTAATTATATTTTAGATTTTTATATTTAAGATTAGAGGTTTATCTTGTATTTGATTATGTTTATCTACAGTTAATTATACGAATTCAAAAATTGAGCTTTAATAAGTTGTAATCACGCACAATTTACTTGTAATCTTAAATTTTAAATAATATGTATTAATACACAATAATTTATGTATAAAAAATGGTTTTTAAGAGTTCTTGTCAAATGTTTTATAATATTGTATAGATATATACTAGAAGGGTGATCGTATAATATAGCAAGATATATCTCAATTTTAATGTTTCGTTTTATTATTTATCTATGTCGATAAAATATTGTTTTTAGTGGTTTTGAGAGAGCGATAAATGTTTTTATTTTTGAATAAAATATAAATTTCAATATATCATAAAAATTTGGAAAAAAAAAATATCGACATTAGTATCAAATTAACTATTTAAAGTTATGTTTTTTTATGTAATTTCTTTAATTCAATCTTTTATTTATAATTTAATTTAGACTTAATAACAAAGTAATTTATTT